AAACTCTCGACGGTGCATAACACACGTCGAAGTCGAACGCCGCGACCCAACATTGAGCAACTACGGGACGCCGGAGTTGCCCAGGACTACGCGCAGCAGCTGGAAGTTGCACTACCCACGGAAGAGCAGCTTGGCGCAGCTTCTCTTGAAGATGGCTGGAGGGACATCCGTTCAGCCATAGGTAGTACTGGTGCAGCGGCACTAAGTACTGCAATCCCGGACCGAAGAAATGACTGGTTTGACGGAAAATGCAAACTGTTAGTAGAGGAGAATAATGCAGCACGGGCGAGAAGGCGGCAACACCGCACTAGATTGAATGTGGAGCGATACAGACAAGCGCGGAATAGACAAAACTCGGTTTTGCGAAGGAAGAAGCGTCAGCAGGAAGACCGAGATCGCGAGGCGATGAAAAATCTGTACCGCGTAAACGACACACGGAAGTTCTATGCGAAGCTTAATAGTTCGCGCAAAGGCTACGTGCCGCTAGCCAATTTGTGCAAAGACTTGGACGGTAACCTTCTCACGAACGAGTGTGAGGTGATTGAGAGGTGGAAGCAGTACTATGACGAGCACCTCAACGGTCAAGCAGCAGAAAGGTGGCACGGCAACAGACCTTGGAGCACGCGCAGAAGACGACAGGCTACCGGCCCCTGATCTTCAAGAAGTTGAGGAGGAGATCGGCCGGTTGAAGAACAACAAAGCAACTGGTGTAAATCAACTACCAAGTGAGCTATTAAAATACGGTGGTGAAGCACTGGCTAGAGCGCTGCACTGGGTAATTGCCAAGATTTGGGAGGAGGAGATATTACCGGAGGAGTGGATGGAAGGTGTCGTATGCTAAATCTACAAAAAGGGCGACAAGTTGGATTGCTGCAACTACCGCGAGATCACACTGCTGAGCGCCACCTACAAGGTACTCTCCCAAATTCTATGCCGCCGCCTGTCACCATTTGCAAGAGACTTCGTGGGGCAATACCAGGCGGGATTCATGCGCTACCACGGACCAAATTTTCGCGTTTCGGCAGGTTCTGCAGTAATGCCGCGAATCCCGACCAGAAGGGTATAACAATAAAATAACAAGATTATAACAAACCTTGTTATGGATAACTGATTATGCTATAATTAAGTTAAGGAAACTTATCACCAAGAAAATAATATAACAAATCTTTAACAAATTTAAATGCAATGATTTTTTTATGATTTTGTAACTGATTCTTAACAAGATTTTATCACAACCAGATATTATTGACCAAACCCCAATAAAAAATCAAATATATTTTTTCTTGTGTCTTTCAAGCATTATATTTTCTATGAGTTTGATAATGTTTTGTATTTCATTTACACAGTTAATCAATCTGAGTTTTTGATTTACAAAGTGAAATATATGATTATAACACGATTTGATATAATTTTGTAATAGCACAACAGAATTGTGTTGCAAAATTTGTTATGTTTTTGTTATGAAAGTAACATAGCGAAATATATTTTTGATGCATCTAGAGGAAATTTTTGTTACATTTTTTGTTATTTTAACTACATCCGGGATCTTAAGTGTAACAAGCTGTGTTACAAATTATAGTGAAACAAAATAACACAAGCTGTAATAAATGTGTTATTCCCTTATGGTCGGGATACTACGTGCCAACACATAATTTGTTCATCGATTTCAAATCCGCATACGATACAATCGATCGAGATCAGCTATGGCAGATTATGTACGAGTACGGATTTCCGGATATACTGACGCGATGGATCGAGTGATGTACGTTGTTCGAGTATCGGGGACACTCTCGAGTCCCTTTGAATCTCGAAGGAGGCTACGGCAAGGTGATGGACTTTCGTGCCTGCTATTCAAGATCGCGTTAGAAGGTGTGATCAGAAGAGCTGGGATAGACACGAGTGGCATGATCTTCAGGAAGTTCACCCAGCTTCTTGGCTTCGCCGATGATATTGACATCATGGCACGAAACTTTGAGACGATGGCGGAAACGTACATCAGACTGAAGACTGAAGCTAGGCGGATTGTAGTTCGTGTATTTGGGCTCACTGGTGACCGCCGAAAATGATACCAGCAGAAAAATTCAAAGACGCATTATGGCAGGGAATCGTGCCTACTTTGGACTCCGGAGGACGCTCCGGTCGAATAAAATTCGCCGCCACACAAAGTTGAATGTCTATAAGACGCTGATTAGACCTGTGGTCCTCTACGGCCACGAGACCTGAACTATGCTCACGGAGGGCCAACGCACCCTCGGTGTTTTCGAACGGAAGGTGTTGCGTACCATCTATGGTGGAGTGCAGATGGATGACGGAACGTGGAGGAGGCGAATGAACCACGAATTGCACCAGGTGCTGGGAGAACCATTCATCGTCCACATTGCAAAAATTGGGCGACTACGGTAGGCTGGGCACGTCGAAAGAATGCCGCATGACGACCCAGTAAAAATGGTTCTAGAAAGCGACCCAACAGCAACAAGAAGAAGAGGCGCACAGCGGGCAAGGTGGATCGACCAAGTAGAAGGCGACCTGCGGACCCTTCGCAGACTACGAGGCTGGTGAAGGGTGGCCATGGACGGGTAGAGTGGAGACGACTTCTTCGGACAGCAGAGGATAACAAGGTATTAGCTGGATTGGTAAGGTAAGTAACACAGGGCCTTGCTAACGTTAACTGGTACCCAGGGCCAAACATATGTGGGGAGCCATCGAGTACACCACAGTCGATTTTTGCAGTAATTAACCTTGTCTAACAATTCAACAAAACCAACTGTCCATCAATTCAAATCACGTATTTAAGATATTCTCTCATGATACCAAATTACTCAGAAGATATTCCAAAAATTCAGGTGATCAGAGTTCTCCATAATTTACTCTAGATATGATTTTGAGACATCAGAATGATCAGTTATGATACCCGAAGTTATCCAACTATCCGACAATTCAAATATTCCCTCCTATCATTCCAGGTGGTTTAGAACTTATTCCAAAGACTTTGTTATTCAGTTATTATTTTGAAGATTTGCAACTGCCCAACAATTAAATTCACGCTTCTCGTATGATACCATTTTATTATAGTAAGCTATTCTGGAGATATCTTGCTATCCATCAATCCAAATCACATCTCTGATATTTTCTAATATGGTACCAGCTATCTCAGAAATTATTTCAAAGGCTTTCGAGTGATCGAGGATATTGATGAGGATCGCTGAATATTTTTCAAGACTTCAGGATGATCAGATATTATTGTGAATATTCTGCCTATTATTGTGAAGATCTCTAATTGTTTCATAGAACAAAAAATGTCTCTAAGATATTCTCGCAAGAAAGTAGGTTGATCTGTAAGACCTTCGGATGATCAAGAACTTGCATAATGTTCTCTGGATAATTTGGCGATTCATATCTTTTATAAGATATTTTTTCTGAAGATCTTTAACTGTTCAATAAATCATGCCTGTTAGATATTCTCGTATCAATTAATTAATTAATTTAGCTTTATTTAGGAGGCTTTCAGCCTTAGGCTGGTTCGCTTCCGACATTCTCGTATCATAGTAGGTTGGTCAGAAGTTATTCCAGAATCCGTCAGATGATTAAAGACCTGCATCATGTTCTCTGTATATTTTGTCAAGACTTGAGGTCGATCAGGTTTTATTGTGGAAGTCTCCAACTGTCCAGTAATTCAAAACTCAGATATTTTTCAGAAAGCAGGTTGAACAGGATTATACTAATGTTTTTCAGTTGGTCAAATACCTGCATAATGCTCTCTGGACATTTTGGAAATTCTTCTGGTTCATTAATGATTATCTTGTGTGAATATCTATTAAATATTCTTAAAAGATACCAGTTTCACCAAGATTCATTCCAAAAACGTTCAATTGATCAATGATTGTCATAAAGTCCTCTGGATAATTATTCAAGACTATTAGTTTAACGGGTATTATTTTGTAGATTTCCAACTCAAATAATGTTTTTAAGATACTTCTTTCAAAAAAAGGTTGATCCGGAATTATTCCTAAATCCTTAAATTGATAAAAGAACTGCATAAAGTCTTCTGGATATTTTTTTAAGACATCAGGTTGGTCAGTTAACCATTGATCTCCAAAAATCTCTTTGAATATTTAGTCAATACTTATCGTTGATGTTATGCCGGAGATCTCCAATTTTTCAATAAATTAATGCATATTTCTTTTCCATATTTTTTTCTGGTTCATTGCTCAAGACTTCAGGTTGATAAGGAATAATTCAGAAGATATCAAATTGTTCAATACATCAAATAAAGTACCTGAAATATTTTTGCAAAATAGTAGGGTTGTCAGAAATTGTTCCAAAAACCTTAAATTTTTCAAAGACCAATGTAAAGTACTTCGTACATTTTGTCAAGACAATTCTGTTATTATTCTGAAGAACTTTAAGTGGTCAATAATTCAAACCATGTTTCTCAGACAATTTCAACATGCCAAATCATGTCTCTTAGACAGTTTGGCAAGACAGCAGGTTAACCATGAATTATTTCTATAACCTTCAATTGATCAAAGACTTACAAAAAAGTCCTTTGGATATTTTGTCACGACATCAGGTTGATCAGGAATTATTCTGAAGATCTGTCTAGTTTTTCAGGAATTTTTGCGCAGACCGTCTGCTGATCAAAAACTTTAAGTCCTCTAGATACTATGGCAGGCAAGACTCCATGTTGATCAGACAATATTCTGATGATCTCTATTGTTCAATAACCCAGATCCTGATTCAAAATATTCTGTAAAGATGGCAGACCGATCAGGAATTATTTCAGAGACCTTCATTTGATCAAGCATTACAATAAAGTCCTTTGGATAATTACAGAATTCAGATTGATAACATATTATTCTGAAGGTCTACATCTGTCCAGATAACTATATTATTAATACAGTAAGGTTGGTACTAGAAACACGTTTGAATTTTCAAAAATGCACCAAAAAACAGAAAACACTGATTGATATATTATCATCTAAATCATTCGAAAAAAAAAACTACTTGTGAATTTTGTATACTGGCTTTTCCAGCGCTTCATAGTTGTGTCCAAAATCCAGCGGTCGTTTCTTGATATGATTCACCAGCTTCCGAGCTTCACATAATCGCTGCACGTTGGTCTTGGTGGATGTTCGCAACGAACCCACCTTAAGAAGATGGCTCCCGCAATAGCGGTTCTTACGGGCCTCCGTGGCCCCGTCCATTTCGTTCGGATAGTATGTCTTTGATCGAAACAGCTTTGGTATGGGAACGACTGCGTTGGTCTCTGCCTTCATAGTTGCTTCGTTATCGCAGGAGATGCACTTGATGGTACCGGATAGTTTCGTACCCGCCGCGTCCAGTTTTTGAAATCGGTTCAGATGAAGTTGCAAGAGCGATAGTTTCTTGTTGACCTTGATCTCCAAGGCGGACAGTTCTTTTCGATCGACCTTCTCGCAAAGTTGAGCAATCCAGGAGCTCAGTTGATTTTTGAGAATTGCTAACTTGCCATCGTCGTCCTGCAGAGTTTGGTTGATCGTGGCGACTGCCGTCTCGAATTTTTCAATCGAAACACGGGTTTCAAACATGTCATAGTCCACACGGTCATCCATCTGCCGTTCCAGTACAAAAACCCGCTGCGATATATTATTTCCTTGGTATTTTACGTCTTCGGTCAACTTCTCCAGTGGACCTTTCAGCGAGTTACGATAGTCGTCCAAGTTCTTCACGCAGCTATCCCTTATTTGGTCCAGCTTGATCTCTATGTCGTCAAAGCGCTCCTTAATAAAATCGACCGTTTCCTGCATCTTTCTGTTCGATTCAACAACAACCTTCTGTGACACTTCCAAAGCATTCAGCTGCTCCTCTTTTTCCATGAACAAATCGTCGATCTCCTGTTGAACGGAGCGAATATTGATAATCGCACTCGCCGCCTTCTGGTGAAAGTTCGTTTTCATAGCCGGTTGAGACTCATCGCAGGACAGCTCCGAAAGGGTTAATAACATTTCACTTCCCGAAGCATCCGGCAGGGGTAGCAACTCGATCAAATCATTCAACACACTCTTGATGCACGCAATCTCTTTCTCTAGCTGGGAGGGGAATCTTTGATTGCTTGGTGGGCGTCTAGCAAGCGCGGCTATGGTCGGCACTCCTTTGGTGTAGAAATCCATCGGCAGGGTGTCGATCGATAAGCGTTGTGAGCCACGATGAGGCTCGGTCGAGGATCGCCGGGAGCAGAAACCCGGAAAATGCTCCACCAACAGATGGTTCATGTTGTGGATCTGAGTTTGCATCACGGTTATGTCTCCACTGTCCAGGAAAGGAAGAACCTTAATCTCCAAGCAGCGAAACTCCACCAGCACATCATTGGCCAGTGCTGTCAGCTTCCCCAAACTGATTTCCATTTTGTCGAGACGTGAAGCCAGATTCAAAAAATCAACCGGCTCGTTAGGTTTCAGCGATTCCCGACTGGTTTGGTACAGCTTCAGTTCTTCGTCGCTCGGTAAGATTGACACCCTACTTTCCAATGTCTCAAGCCTTTGTGAGATGTCCTGCGAATCATCAACGCTGATGGACTCTCCGGTTGATTCGTCCTTTTTTTCAAGATTCTTATCGTATGGTATCACATGAAACAGCTCATTTTCGCCACGTTGTTCAACCGTAACGCTCAGAGAAGGATCGACCTCCGAAGATTCAATGAACACGCCAAGGTTCTTCCTGTGTTCGGGTAGCAGATCTACGTGCGATGTCTGGCATCCCAGCTTTCGAACAATTATGTGAAGCAAACTGTGCAACACCGTGAGATCGATGCTTCCGGTCTCCGGAGTTCCGATTGCCAGATCAACTAACTTGGCTAGAGATAGATCGTACGTCATTTTCTTGTTGATGCGACGTTTTCGCGCTTACAACTCACTGCTAACTAGATGATTGTTTGATTCTCAAGATGAGCAGGAGCACCCATCCGATCCAGATTTACCGTTGTGATTCATATTTCGGACACTGTATTCGTTTTTTCGATGATGAAATATTTGATGTTATTTTCAGATATATCTAAGTTGTCTTGCCCATTGGGTTTGATATATTATCAGTCGTGGTGTGATGTAAATGGCACGATGGCTTTAGATTAACCGTTTTTGCTTGCTGAGCAGAAGATCACGAGTCTAATCTCAGGCCCATCCACATTCAAGATTCTTTTTTTTTCCTTCTTTTGTTTTCCGTCGATCTTGTTTTCCGTGCTGAGCACCAATGCTACCGATGCCAGGGAGGCAGCTCCCACACCTGGACCCTACCTATTGACCCATCAACTCATGAACCGGGGACCAACGGCTTTACTTCCCCCGAAGGAAGGCATGATCAGAGATGTTATGCCTCAGAACATCCCGGCAGCGCCGATTGGAATTGAACCCGGGCCTGCTGGGGTGAGAGAAAATCACGCTTACCACTCTACCACCGACGCCGCTCACATTCAAGATTCGTCGATTGTTTTATTTGATAATGTAACTACATGGTAATAACAACAACTCGATGATTAAAAAGGAGCTCGTCTGCCTAGTGGCAAACGTTTTTGCTTACCGAGCAGAAGACCGTGGGTTCAATCCCAAGTTCCTTCGCGTTATATGAACGTTAGGACATCAATTCAGCTTATCGTTTACCAAAACGAACCCTGCTGCAAACCTAACCCTCTTACCCAACATCCTAGTGATTCCTCGTGGAAGTGCAGAGGTGTTCTCGGTGTCACGTCAACACATTCCTACCCTTTCCTGTCTTGACCTGTGTTCGGGCGCGGCCGGCGCTGGTATTGCCTAGTTTGAGATCACCAGTTTTTACACATTGAGGATGATTGCTAGTCCCAAGCATCGTCTATTGGTTCTCTGTGTAATTACAGCTGGTCTGGCAATAACAGAGTAGCAACGAGACTTTCAGCCTTAGGCGAGTTCATTTCTACTGAGATAAAAATTTCAAATCTACCTATTTGATTAACGTTTATCAAATATTGTTTAAAAATTTGGATAATTAATTTGAGTGACCTTCCGTTTTTATCCCACGTAGAATCATCGCTGAACGTTAATTTAGTCTCATTTGCCATTCCGACTATTGAAAGGCCTATTTAGGGAAATTATACGTTATGCATTATAAATCAATTCAAATTTCAATGAACTCAGCGTATAATATGAGCACTCTATTATTTACTCCTACCTCATTAATTCAGTATCCATTCAATTATCAACTTGCTCATCCGTTTTCCTGAAAGCAACAGGTACACTGGATGCTTCCAAACTTGAAAAATAATTTTCGCAAACATGTAATCAAATCATGTTTCATTAAAACCTCATTATTTCCCACAAACTAACCCCATTCAAATCAAAACAAATTCCATTCAGTTCATTTAATGCGCAATCAACCGGACCGGGTGAACTTAAATAAAATAATCTCCCATCAGATTTTCCATCTATTTTCCACGCTTGACCACAATGGCTGACACTGACTTCGCTGGAGTGACTAACCCTTTTCAGCTTGTTGCGTCAATTATTGTGCAGTAGGTATAGGTCGACCCTTGACTTGACTCGCTGCGATGCACAGTGGGACGAAATCAAAAAAAGTGGGCCATGGAAATTTGCGACGAAACTATTGACTGTAGCATTTTGATTTCTTCTAGAATTTGTCTTCATTTTTTAAGTACTTTATTTTGTGAAGTAAACATTTTTGCTTAAGGTGGATATACACTCAGATACAAAAGATAACTTTTTTACGTCTTGTTAAAATTGATGAACGTCTATGAAGACATTGTAGATGAAGTCATTTTAAGAAACTTTGTCCAAGACAGTAATTTTTTATCGTCGAAGTTTTAGGGTAAAATAGAGTACAAACGGTAGTACTCCCTTAAACCCCTTTTTTACCATAACGGTTTTGTTTGAATTTTACATTTTTTTTTTTTCAATGTTCTACAAAGTTGCACATTTTTTTCAAAAGAAAAGAAAATCGCTATCTCTCCGTTTAAAGGATTTACATCCGCATTTTTAATTTTTTTAACACTATTTTTAAGGGCGTGTATCTTCCCGGATAGCAAGTATTAGCAGCTAAACTCCACGTAGTTTCGTTAAGCAACTTGTACCATACTTTTACATATGCAATTCGTAGGAGGATCCTACCCGAGTAGCACACTTTCGTCACAATAAGTTACAGCAACTTGTTTATGACTGAAATAAGTCGTATATAAGTTTCTACAATTGATTTATGACAAGCGAGCTACAAAGGTAAGGGATGCCTAATGAATGCTCTAATAAGTACCTCAATGTTTGGTACTTTTTGCAGTTTTCGTGACATTTATTCCAAGTATGTACATTAGGCTGGGTTGCAGCTTCGACAAAGTTGTTTGGTATAGTTTTCTCGATCTAAGTCCGAGTTTTGGTGACATCTGAGAAATATTTGGATTTTTGGTAAGCAAATGAATAGGATCGTTCCGTTTCCCATTAATTTTCCTATACCAAATTTAAAATTCTCCCACAAATTGAGACTATAATCCAATTTGTTGGGGATCTGAATATGTATTGAAAAAGCAGTGGGGAACCCACCCTAATTTAAATGTTTGGAAAAATGGTCATGCAATCAGCAAAACGTAACAGAACATTGAGGTACTTCATTAGAAAATTCATTAGGCATCCCCTTGGATCCCCCTACGAGTTGTATATGTAACAGTAGGGTATAAGATCTTGATTAAAATAACGTTGAGATTAGCTGCTAATACGTGCTAACCTGCAAGATACACCTCGTTAAATATAGCGTTAAAAAAAATATAAAAACGGACGTAAATCCTTAAAGCGAAAAGAAAGCGATTTATTTTCTGTAACACAAATGTTCTTTTTCAGAGCACTTACAATTTTGTAGAACATTGAAAAAATCACAAAATTCAAACAAAAAAGCAATGATAAGAAAACGCTATTTAAGGAGGTACTACCGTTCGTACTCCATTTCCACCCTATAAATTCGTCCAGTTGAGAGATAGAAAATTGTCGTCTTGGACAAAGTTTCTTAAAAAAATGTCATCTACAATGTCTCCATGGATGTTCATCGATTTTAACAAGACATAAAAAAGCTATTTTTTTCTTGGTGTAAACTCTCCTTATACAAAAATGTTTACCACTGAAATAAAGAGCTTGCAAATTTAGAAACATTCTAGAAGATGTCAAAATGCTACACTCAATAGCTTTGTCGCAAATGCACTGTTTTTTATTTCGTCCCACTGTGCAATGTAATGGGCTTTTCGAGTGATAGCAGACTCTTGACTGATCGGAAAATGAATCCTTGTCGGATGTTTGTTGCGGTTGTGTGCAGTACAGGTGTTTCGATGATTGTGAGGTAGAAACATTGAGGAGTGGAAGACTTGGGTAAACTATGAGAACCATTCAACAACACCAGCAGCAGCAGCAGCAGCAACGGCAATTAGCGTGTGATAGATGGTTATTATATGTTTGGTCTCTTCAGATTCCAATTTACCACCCCAAGTGGCGGTGGTAATTTAATGGGAAGGGGGACACACTACGACGATTTATGATCTGACGGTGATTCAATCCGGTTAGGGGCAAATAGGGGTTGGGAAAAAGTAGCTGTACGGGATGCTTTCAGCGTTTTCTGTATGAAAAGATCTGTCTGGGCAGTTTCTAAAATATCTAAATTTTCTGAAACCAATCGACTTTGTTTAAGATTTTCAACCTTGCGATTAGTTAATTGATTGTTTATAGTCTAGTCAGTCAGTAAGGTGCTTAAGAGTGCACCATAGAGTGGCTACTTTCCATTTCCTCACAAAAACGTACGAAAGCTGATTCGACTCTATATGTATGATTTAAATGGTAGGGTTTCACCAATTCTTTCCTCGTTTTGATCGAAAAACGCTTCACAGAAGTGAACAAGGAATCGACTCACTCCATTTCCGTGTGTGGGGGTGCAATTCGTTGCTGTGTTTGCTTTGACTTCTGAAATTCCAGAAAAAATTTCTAAAAATTACCATTTTCTCCAGAATTCCTTTCGAGCTATTATCGGAATTCGATTCTCTTTGATTGCTTCTCAGTATTTTTAGAAAAGCTTTGAGTGTGTTGGTTTATTTCCTTTAAATTCCATTATAATTGCTTATCTTTTAACAGATACGCGTATTTCGTCTACTACTTGCATACTTTATCAGTGCCAAGTACTCAACACCGTTGAAGAATTAATCTTTAACCTACGACTTATATACTAATAATTAAGTACTATAAATCAACAGTTGGATCCATGTTACATTTACTTAACTAGTGTGATCGGTACCTAAATTTAGTTTCCAACAGGTAGATGCATGTTGTGTGGTTTTAGGTAGCATGCTAAAGAGTTTCGAGTATCCGTTTCCTTGATCTCTATTAAGCAATGTTGATCGATTATGTTTAAATATTTCTAAACTTTCTGCTACATCCGAAGCCGAGAGGAGAGAAAAAAAATTGCACACCCACGTTGAAAATCGCCAAATCAACCGTGTATGATGTGCTCAAACGTTTCAGGGAGCGAAAGAGCGTGGATCGAGTGCCTCAAGGTAAGCATCGTATTGGAACATATGACCGCAAGCTGAACCAGAAGGTGTTGAGAACCGTCAGAGCAAACCCTGGACTATCAGATAATGAAATCGCATAAAAATACGCTGCTGCTCGCAGTACCGTTCGAAGAATTCGTTTGCGAGCAGGATATCGTTCTTATCGAGCCAGCAAGCAATCAAACAGAACGTTGAAGCAAAGTTTCGTCAACAAAACTCGAGCTCGGAAATTTTACCAGCGGGTTTTGACGAAGTACCTGCTCATCCACGATGAAACCTACGTCAAAATGGATTTCGGACAGCTTCCTGGCCAAAAATTCT